CAACACCTTTACTATGAACGGTTTTAAATTAAGAATACATTTATTAAAAATCTCTGCATCTAATATTAATACCCATTTACAGATTTAGCACACTAGAAGGAATAATACTTTTTCTCTCTAGAGGGAAAATTCGCTGCAATTTTTAAATTTAATTCACTACACTACAGTGCCGTCCAAAAATACAGCGCTCATTATTAACAGTATTTCGATACTGTTATCAAAATGTAAACAAATGGTATGGAGGTGTACTCTCTAGCCTAAGCAAAGTCTTCCTAAGCGCAGAGGAAATGATATCATGGGAAGCCATACCCAATCCCAAGGATGTATTTTTCCCTAGCGCGTGGTGCGGTACAGAATGCTTACATGCAGGCCTGCCAGAAGGTATGAGTAGCGTTTTACATTGCACTTGCATCTCTCTGACAAACCATTTAGAATTTTCGTCGCCTCGGGCACAAAGGCATTAATCAAGGCACGTGGATTAACATCTCAATGTATATGAAAATTTTAAAATAATCACAGAATTCAACGCACGTGACGGAAATTCCATCAATAAATTTTATCTGTGATTATTGTAATTGAATTGTGTGTGTAACTGAGGTATTATCGAGGGGGTAGAGTTGGTAATTACTATCTTTTCGTGCATTTCTTGATGTTCATTCATAGTAATCAGATGATTACGTACAATTTTGTAAGCGTCAGTTTTCTTCTCTCACTATCTTTTTTAGTGTTATATTTGATAACTTCCTTAATTTTCGTCTGGGGGCGCAACTATTACTTTTATTCGATCAGACTTACCCACTTTCTTACAACGTACTTAAATCTGATGTGTGCAGTCTGGGACCATTCATTCCATATGTACATTCCAAAAGGTTCCATATGTACTGTTTTATCCTCTACAATTATTTGCTTCTAACTATCATAGTTATGATATTTTCAAACAGAAAATATCTGGGAATATAATAATTTCAGATAGGTAGTTTAGTGATCAATAGAATTAGTAATAGACAATAATTTTAGTAACTGAAATTATGATACGTTGTTAAAGCTATGTGTTTTCAGTTCTTCAAACTCAATAAAAGAAATCCTCGAAGCAAATAAATGACTTTTGACAGACGAAATTGAATTGCGAATAGTCCCATCCGTTACACTCATCTAAATTTTACTCTGTCAAAGGGTATTTATTTTCAACACAAACAACTTAAGGGGGACCTCATTTTAGTTACAATACCCCCTCCCCCAGGTTACATAAGTAATGCGTTCCATAAACCTTTACTTAACAGGAATTTAAAGTAAGCTGAATTCGTAAATTGTTAAAGAGTAACTTTGCAAGAAGCAGCAATATTTATTATCGTAAAAAAAGTATATATAATGATGTGTGTGTATGCACATTATTTACACAGTATTATTTTGTAAATGAATTAATATGCAACAGTATTTACTCGGATCTAAATTATAAAAATATATCAAACATATAAATAAGTATTTTCAAATTATAAAAAAATGCCTCTTGACAACTAGTTTGGCTCTGTAATGGAAGAGTCAACGTTGGATATGGATTGTTATAAAGAGAAATACTGTTCATTGCCTACTTCTACTCCTCTCGATAGGATCATATGAGTTAAAAGTCGTTGTTGTGAGCGTCATCTCACGAACATGGCTAAAGCAGATTATATGGCCACAACGTTTTTGCCGTCGGCTGCTAATGGCTGCTAATGTTCTCGAACCGCTCCGTGCTCGAATCCGTAAATTCTAATCTTACTAGCATCATGTCTATCATGAAAGTAAATTTAAGAGACTTGACTAGTCCTTTAGATGCCAATTTCTTTGCATTTGGAATTGCGGTTCAATTGTTATAATATATTAGGTATTTTAAGGGTAAATAAATGCTAACCGTGATAACAAAGAACACTAACTGCGATAAACAAGTACCTAAATTAACTGCGCGAATATTGTGTGAATGCAAAAACAGGGGTTGGGGAAAGAAGAAATAATTTACGGATTCCTTATTTCTAATTGGTAGGTTTCAGTTTCAAAGTTACTTACATCACTATAAATTTACATAAGATACACAAGACAAAAGGAAAGAAATAATACATGAGACATAGAAAGGATTATAAAAAGTGGGCAAATTTTCGCAGCCGCTATTCCCCCCCCCCAACTTTTTCTTCTTGAATATAGCTGAAGTAACTGCAAGACTCTAAGTTTTATTTTGAATTAAACAGACTTTTTCTGTTACTTATTAGGCATTAAGTAAGATTTCATTCAAATATATGCAAATAGCAGAGTAAAATGTATCTTGTAATGCTTGTTACGCAGGTAGAAACAAAACTTCGCGTATTTGAATAAGTTACGATTTCTTTTGTGAAAAATCAACTGAAAAAAACTTTCATTTCATTCATGAAAATGGCGTCCATAATTTTAACGACGCACATGCAAAAATTGTGCATAAGAAGACGGTTTTTTATTTTAGCATGTGCAAAACTACAGAGAAGCGCTTATAGTATGTTTCATAGCAGGTAACGGGTAACAGAAGACGGAGACACCAGTACTCCGCTGTCATATTTGACAGTTAAGGACAGTACTCTCGCTCTCCCCGCTGGGCTAGAATCCGCTTTCATTACAATCTAAAAGGCTATTAGAATTTAGAAAATCTTTATCTTATTGATTAAAAATTCAATTAATGTTGGTATTCACATTAATGAGAGAGATGAGCCAGTCGATTCTTCTATAGCTGTTCTACCTTTGGATGCATGCTGGTAAGAAGCACCACAGTCATGGCGCTTTAAATTCATCCCTTGTTTATAACAGCTAGAATGGGAAGTATGTAGGTACGGTAACCGGTGATAAATTTTATAAAATATTAGTCTTGGGAGAGAAAGTAATAGACGATTGCTATGTGTAATTTCCGAAGTCTGAGAATTTGTGACTACTATAGCTATACTCGTAGCTGATCTGAATTTTACTTTTTTTAATGAAGTCTAGGAGGACCACAGACTGCGAAAGACTGATCTATAAGGTATAGGGAATTAAATGTGGTGTAATAGCATATTGAGACTATCACAGTATTTAACGAAGCAATAAGAACTTGATTTTTCCTATAAACACTAGCAAGCAGAACTATTGGTTTTTAAATCTGTGAATATTTTACAACAGGAAAAAGTAAAAAGGAGCAACATTTCTTACATAATTTCAATACCCCCCCAAAAAAAGAGAGAGTTAAAGAATTTTTTTTTTTAAACTAAAATTTGCAGTCAGGTAATGAACGTTCTCCTTAGTTTCTGAGAGATCAATTCAAATGTCTTCCTATGATATCTTTTCCCTCAATCGCTTCCAAATGAGCGCAGTGATCGGTTAAAGAAACCCAGTCATTCTAGACGAGAGGCAGAGTTACTCGCAGAAAGAGATAACATCGAAAAAGTTATCGATTTTCTTAATCGCTAATTCGGGTGTGGTTTCATTTCGAAGACAGTTTTCCCTATACTGCCATAATCTCAAAACGGCATATCTTCATCGGATTTAAAATTCTAATTCATCTCAAAATGCATTTCATTTCACATAATGATCGTAAAATGATGCATATCGACTTTATTTAGGTACTTCGATTGAACTGATAATTTAAAGCGCATTTTGACTAGGAAATTTTACATCTTATATATAGTCAAACTGTTATCACAAGCACGGATACAACGAGATTTCGGATATAATATGCAAAACGTAGTGATGAGTTTAATTTATCTACATTTGCAGTATGGGTATCGAGGGAAATTGATTTCCAAATGCACTTTATAACCAATTTCTGGTGCATTTACCAGGATTATACAAATGCAGATCCTGATAGGAAACTTCTTGGACACAAAGTACGTAATCATCAAAAATTTATTTAGAAATAAATTTAAAAACGTTGCATACAAAATAAGAAATTTGTATTGTCAAATAAATATTAACCACTACATCCGTTTTTTAAAAAAAATTCGTACCCGAAGTTTAAAATTTTAAATCTTTGTACTTTCAGTGTTCGCTACCTACAGAAATCAGTTGTTCTGTGAGATTTTTCAGCAGTTTTTCTTACCTTTTACTGTAAATACGACCCAAAATCTTCAAAAAATCTTCCACAGAAATAACCCATCCATTAGATAATTCATGCTACATTCATTGTATGTGCATTATATAATAGATATGAAAACGCCATAGATATATGTATCCAAAGGAAAAACACGGAATACGACTGAAAAATTAATGTATAGGCAGAAGAAATAAAGAAGAAATTTCAGGATTCATAACCACTCTGCATTACATCACTTTTGTTACGATGAACCCAATTTGTCTAAAGGGTAAGCATTCCATCATGCAGAAAATTTCACGAAGAAATTCTTTTTTCCATTGTATATATTTTACATTTGTACAGTACCTATAATACATATCTGTACGAGTTATTAATAAAAATTATGTTATCTGTATCTCTAAACATATTCGCAAGGTATAAACAGTTTCTCAGGCATAAGATATAATCAGATAAAAGCATCAATATTTAAAATATCCACGTAAAGCTTTTGCTCAATGATACTAAATTCTTAAAATAATAATACATTTTATACATTGAGTTTTATGAAAATAAAATCTGCAGTCGCATTTTTTTGTGCAGGTATTTCAATCCAAAAAGATATTTTATAGTCATGCATCCCTAATAATTCTATTTGAACAGCCAATTTGGTTGAAATTCTAACTGTGAAAAACAATTTGATATTCTACATTACCAGCTGGAACAGTACGAAATACATACGAGTAATTACCAACATAAGACTCCGTTGATATTGCAGTTTAGAAACTGTATGGAAATGAATGACGTTTGACGCCAAGCTACTGTTTTTGTTTTATTCTTTTCCTGTACAAGATCAAATTTTCTATCACATTTCACTCTTTGTTTCAGTAGGCTAGAATATCTTGCAGCATTTTCAAATGCTTCTGTAATCACTGCTGTCTCTAAGTCGTAAAGTACTCACTCTCCATTTTTTTCTTTTTGGTTTTTCTCCTCAGCAAGAATAAGATTCCATCCAACAGTGTGCGAAAATTCAAGCTCTTTCATTAATTCCTTGTAAGTACTTCTCGAATTAACTTTCAGTTCCCCCAAAAAGGTCATCATTAAGGCTTGATCATTAAGGCAATGATCGCATTAAGGCCGGTCAAAAGGAGCATCTTCTGCTCCGAATCTGAACTTCGATTCTCCAAAGCTGAAGTTTCATCAAGCTGAACTTTCATCAAAGCTGAACTTTCATCAAGCTGAACTTTCAAAGGTGAAACAAATCTTCTCGCAAGCATATTCCTCATACTCATAATCTGCACATAATAAACAGTGCATATATTTAAAACAGCATTTGCAGTCGATTTCTCAGTTTAAACTCAAAAAACACAAAAAATCCAAAATCTTTATTTTGAATAATTTGATGTAAAGCGAAGTTAAAAAGTCAGTTCTCATAAAAAAAGCTTTGAGTTAAGGCGAACGTGAAGCTATAAAAAGATTTTCAAGAAATTTGATGATTGTTCATAACTATGATGCAAAATTTGAAGTACTGTAAAAAAGGCATAACTTTACAAATGTTTTCAATTAGATCAATGTTTCGCACAAGTGTGAAGTGTAAAGTGTGAAGTTTAAAAATGCAAACCACTCAAAGATAAATTTAAATTAAAAAATATAAATATACTGTTGAAAGAAATACAATTTTTCTTTTATTAATGAAATTCATGAGAAGACGAAGATCCGATAACATTGCTTTCGACGTTTGAAACAGCATTTCTATGATTTCAAGATGCATACAACACAAGAAGTAATAGAAGTTTTAGAATAAGAGAAATATTATCCTTGAATTATGCATTTTATGAAGTAAGAGCCCACATTTATCATATTTGCTGTAGATTTAAACAACACAGCACTACTTGACTTTAACAGTAGTACTGCTACTACGCAAACAGCATAGTGCTGATTTGTAGTAAAGCAAGGATCCACATCAGTTATATTTATTGCAGACTAAAATAACGTAGTTCTACTTGGCTTTTACAATTTTGGGAATAAGAGACGTTGATAAGTTTATATCAACATACATCATGAACATTACTGATCACAAAAGTTTAATGCTACTGCTGTTCATCAAAACTGATAATACTAATAGCAAAAGTTATTGATGAATGTACACCTACGTCCCAGTAAATGTTGCCCCAGTAGACAACTTCCTGTTAAAAAATAAGACTAAAATATAATATAACGCAAACATAATGTTTTACTCTTCTCTAGGATTCATTCGTTTAAATAAGAGACTGATACAGCCTGAAAATGATTTTCGGTTGAGAACTACATACAAGTATATGTTGTAAATTTATCAACGGAAGGAAAACTGCGAAAAGAGTCTTTTTTTAAGAGAAAAAGATTTAAAGACGATAAATAAACGCCTACGCTATGAGAAAAAGCACTGGGATGAACTCACACGTCTATTAGACCGAGAGAAGTGTACGAGAACAAACGGAAACATCAACAGCTGCCAAGAAAAGAGCATATTACCATGTCAAACGACGAAAACAAAGGAATACTATCTGTGTCATCAAACTGGAACAGCTGTTTAAATGGTTCTGTCAAAATATATAAGCATGTCTATTCGATAAATATTTCTACCAGGTAGAGAAAAATTTATGAAAAAAGATTCTGCAGTGGAACTATTTCAATTTATTTATGAAAAAATACATCCCATACAAACTACACCTCCGCATAGAATGAAATAATATCTGAAAGTGAAATAGGAAGAGAAACACGCCAATGTAAAATAGGCAAAACAGCAACCTTATTTTAGAGCAAATTTTAAATAAAACTATCGACTTGGCAGAATGTTTTGCTCCTGAAGAAGAGAGACCTGTGTGTGAACGCCCTCGATATCGTTATAGTTTTACTTCATCAAAATAAGCTTGCTGCTTTGCCTAATTTTAAATTTAAATTTGAAACAGATTTTCTCCCACAATGAATATCCCACTGATATTTCCTGAAAAATTCTTAACACATTTAGGTGCGTGAAGTGAAAGGTATTTGAGATCTTTGCACGCCAACTGTGCGGAGAAGTTTTGTATCATCTAGGGCAATGACAATTATACAAGCACAAGGGAGAAATATAATTTTTGGCTAAAAAAAAAACTTAAATAATTATCGAATTATGACAGCTACATACAACAGATCATAAATATACTATGAATTACAGATTAGGTAGGTATTTCCTACAATCTTAAATTATTTAATGTTTATGCAGGGTTAAATATGTTGAAAATGTCCTATATATGGCAATAAACCAAATCTGAAGCATTTATACACTTTTTTTTTTTTTTAGGTGGCTTCAAGGAAAAAAAAATTACAAAAGCTAAATGACAAACATGAAAAGCTTAATAATTCATTATATTTATTTAAAAAAGGGGCGCATTCTAAGCGTTAAAAAAAAAAGAAAGTGGGATCTTATATTTATCGCGCTATTGGTCATGCCTCGATCCAAACAAAGTATTTGTGCAATATCTGCAAGATAAATGTGATAAATCTTTCTACATTTTTTACAAATAATGCAAAAAACTATGTTAGGGGAAAGGAAATAACCTATCTTGCATGCATTTTTAATAAAATATGCATTTTAAACATTACAAAAATTAATTGGAGGACAGATTTTCCCCTTCTCTCCCAAAAAAGTAAAATAATGAACCACGTGTCTTTCAAGTGAGGTCAAAGCAATGGAGCGTTAAAGCGAAATCTGCACAAAAACATGTAAAAAATGATCACTCAAAAGATTTCAGTATTTTGCTGCAGAAGGCTATAAAGCAAAGACACCTTTATTAATCTGCTTACTGAGCGAAAGGAATTAATTAACATCGCACGTATACTTCCGAACATCTGAAATTTTCTCCCCTTTAATATCTATTATAAAAGGAAGACATCTGTTGCTCACTTACGCTAGAACTTATATGGCGAAAAGAATGCAATGATATTGCTTTCCTTTAAAATTTTAGGAAAATTTTATATATTAAATTTCGGTATGCATTTATATTATTCATACTTCTACAAAATGTATTTTCGCGTTTCCAAAGAATACTAAACGTGAAACTATGTTTAATACACAGAATATGCTCGCCTGCATTTCTTTCAAGGCACATTCATAAACCAGCTTTTTTTTTAAAAAAAAACTTATTACGTGCTCCGCCCTTAGGCACTCCATGGAAAGGGAGTGATGCCCCGTGGATGTCTTGTTAAGGGAAACTGACTCGTATCCATATTACCCATTGGCAGAAACCATGAAAACGCCCATGCAGCCAGCCCGTTCGCAGGGACTTGAACCTCGGGCCGAACTACCAGTGCTGAGCGGCTTTTACCGGTCGGCCGCTGGTTGGCCTTAAATCAATTCAGTTTTAAGAAAGTATAAATTCAAAACGCAACAAAAATCCAGCCAGAATAGAAGATATTAATTCATATCTTTTCTAATATTGCTCGGGGTCAAAAAATGGAATCTTTTTACTTTCACATTTAAGCCCAGCTGACAGAAAATATTGTCAGTGTTAAGAAAATATTACCAGATGTCTATTCCATTTACTTTAAGTACGCTCTTCATACAAAAGATTTCATGACAAAATCGCTCACTAATCTAATTACTAAAACAGAAATTTGAATTTTATTTACATGAAAAAAAGGCCTTCCTTGTAAACCGTAAAGCTCTTAAAAATATCAAAATGAAAAATCTGAGACTACATTTAAAAAATATTCAATGAAATCGGTGCTAAATCAATATTTTTAAAGGAATTTATATTAATTTCAAAAGTAACCCATTCTGCTTAATGCATTAAAGTTAATATTTTTAGTCTAAATTCATAAAAGAATTAATATCTACGCTGACTTCATAACGTTAGCAATGAAAGCATTAAAAGCTGCGATACTATTTACATTATATTTCATACCAGTTGATCATTATGGACACCATATTAGGCATGGAAATTCCTGAAAAGCATTAATCATTGATTACCAACCCAAACTTTAGACTAACAAATCATTTTATGATATTTCAGTGTCTTATAATATTATGCAGTAAATGAGTGGATATACGCTAAATTATCATTCCTTTATTAACATTATTAAAAGAAAAATAATCCAACAAAATAAACAGAAATTAGCATTCATTCAGGTTTTCATCTTCCGTTTAAGTACTCTATTAAATCGGAAAAAAATAAATAACATCTTTCTTCCTTTTCCAAGGAAAAAATTGCATGACAAAGCATAAATAAAAATCTTTATTAAAGCAAAAATTATTTTATGTCAAAATAGAAATACAGAGTAAATGAAAATTTTAAGCAGTAACAAAAATGTGAGATATGTGAACTTTTGGGTAATTCATCTACATGTAAACCACCACTTAACTGAGCATACTCCAAGTGAATTTTTGTCTTCTATGAAGAAATTTGTTAGCGGCAACTTACTGATGTTGACTACTTCAGGAGAGAATTTCTGAAACTGGAAAGTTATTTAGTTATGGGATATAATTAATACTTTTATTTTCCTGTTTGTACAAGATGCGCTTTGTTGTAAATGCTCATTCGAGTAAACTGCAGTACTATTTTATATAATTCCCGCGTTTTTTTTCACCTTCAATCATGGGACATCAATTCAATAATTTAAAAACAGAAAAAGTAATAAAAGGGAAAATGTAATATTTTTTGGGATAAATTTAAAAACAGAAACAGTAGTAAAAAGAAAAACTCTTTTAGAATTTTTTTTTATATAATCACAGTTTAATATTATTTACTTTATACAACTTAAATAAAGTAGATTGTATAGTTCGGTTTACTTAATATGTATTCAAAAATAAAATTACAGTCGGGAAAAACGTGTGTATAAAATTACAGTATTTCGAATTTTCATAAAAACTAGCCTCAGTTAACAGACAAGACATTAACGACGTTGCATTTTAGTCAATGACTGAAAGAGAACTCAAGGCATCAATCACTGGTTTAAATAAAGCTACGTAAATATATTTAATCATATAACCCTAAGAACCTTAAAAAATTAAATGAAAGTAGGCTCAAATCAAACTTTGAAAAAGCATGCTGCGAGTAGCAGTAAATTTAGAGGCAATC